TATATAAGGCTATTATAATTTATATAGAATTTAAATTGATTTCTTTGCATTTATGACCTTCATTGAATCCGAAAAATTCCAACACCCCCCAGGTTAAGAACCGCTGGCTTACCCCCTGCACCGTCTATCCGTACTGCATACACCATCCACCCCCCTCCTTAATCCCCGTATGCACGGAGATTGTTTCGTTACGGAAAAGTACGTATTCGGTGAGGTCACGTAGAGGTCAATGTCACCATAACGTGGTTTTCCGAAGCCGTATCTATCCGTAATGTTTTCTGGAGGGCGTTACTATGGCGACGCTATCGGGATTAAATCTCCTGTTACCATGCAGGGTGGTTCAATACTCAGCGGACGTCAACTTATTAAAATAGACACGTGTAAAAGTATTATTTCTTAAATAAATCAAAAAAAATAAAAGTAATGTAGACAAATTAGGATTCACTTATTAGCGAATATGTTAATGAATACTCCAGTATAAAAATTACCATGAGTTTATGCAGTTATGGTATATAAAATGAGTAGCCTAGATATAAAATTGGAATAGGGGGCACTACGGAGTGTAGTTACAAAAAAGAAATAGCTCTTTGAATATAAAATTCAGGCACGCACCAATGACACGAATTGAATCGATTAGTGCAGTATATAATAAATAAATAATGCAAATAAATAAACAGATACACACACACACACACATATATATATATGTATATAAATAAATAAATAAATAAATATATATATATATATATGTAATTTCAACTTAAATTTTAGTTAGAAATCTGTATGCATATTGATAAGAAGTAGAGCATCTTGATACCAGCAAGTTGCCCGAAGACACATAGAGATGTTTAACAGGCTATGGGCTGCCATTAATAAATTCTGCCTGGCTGCCATGACGATTCTAACAACATGGCTGCCTGTTGTAACTTCCTCCCAGATCTATATTGGAGGAATCCCGATTAAAGGATAGTTGTATTTGATAATGAATAATTTTTGATAATAATAAATTAGTTAGACAGATAATAGATAATCGTCGATTAGTAATGTTCGTGACATGAGATTGACAGATATAGATACAGATTCTTGCGTCAAACGTATATATAATAACAGCATAACTTGTTACACAAGGCGTATTTATTTGCAAATATTTTAGCGATCACCTAATATATCATCGTGTTAAATACATAATTTATACTTTAAAAAAAGGCAATATAATTAGGTGGCAGATGAAAATTTTTTTGGGAAGAAACCCACATGACGAATCTGTATATGTGCTCCAAACAATGAATATGGAAAGGCACTACCACACGTCATCCGTGACGTCATATCAGACTGCCACTGTGTTGGTTACATTTACTGGCTCAGGGCCGACGTGGGTATTTGGCACGATCACTAGGTAGTGAAATCAGCAAAAATTTATTCAATATCAAGGATTACCCCCAGCCAACTAAGCATCAGGGCGAAATGTTTGCTTCGCCTTTGACACGTCGCACGTGACAATGTGCATAATGGGTTTAGTTTCAACAGCCGACAGCCCAGCATGCTTAGCCAAACAAAGGTACATGTGCCGCCACCTACAGGTTGATACTGAAACATTTCATGCAAAGATCTATATTCACCATGACACAGTATGAACATACATGACTAATATGAACAAACACATTTAGTTTAAATGAGCTATCGGTTGATCTAACTTTAAAGTACAAACGATACGAGTCAATACGAGGGCCTCCTATCTCAGCTCACAGCCAGAGAAACCCCCAAAAACTCAACATTGCTATATATGTATGTTAGAACGTTATCAAATGCCATCGTTTTAATACAGCGCGAACATCGTGACTATATTGAGCGCCATCTGGTGGCGATCCGCTCTAAAATACAACTGATACCGATCACAGATCCCGCGTAGAAGTCTTCTACTCGTCGCTAGATGGCGCTGGCAGCACTAGCTCTCTGGCCATGACAGCGACACGTGACCAACATGGCTGCGACGCTGCGATATTAACCCCCTCTCTGCGATACTGACCTCAACGCCCTCTAACGTCTCCCTCTCACAACACGTTAGCCTACATGGCGCCCGCCTCTACCATTGAATATCTGAACAAGATATCAGAGATAGGTGTGGCGGAAGAGCACACACGCGCGCACGCACGCACGCACGCAACGCACGCACGCACGCAAGCACGCACGCACGCACGCAAGCACGCACGCACGCAAGCACTGCGCTCACGAGTGACTTAACGCACGCACGCACGCAAGCACTGCGCTCACGAGTGACTTAACGCGTAAACCCACGTGCGCCACGCACGCACGCACGCACGCACTGCGCTCACGAGTGACTTAACGCACGCACGCACGCACGCACGCACGCACGCACGCACGCCCGAGTAATTCTCCCGCCATGCACCGCGCGGCTGAGACGTCACCGCACCTGCACGCGCGCGCGCGCGCGCGACGCACTTGACCGTCGTCGCCTAGCCGCCGCCGACGTGCGGTCAACACACCCGCTTCCGGCCTGCTCACGTCACACGCAGAGGTCAGCAGAGGTCAGCAAAGATCGCACGCTGTGACGTCACGCACCCCCACACCCTCGGGTGACGTCACCACCGGCTACTGCCGCCGTCTCGCGCGTTTCTTCGTCGCGTGACTGTGCTGGCGCCGCAGCCAGTAGGGGTACTGCGCGCACGGCCGATCCCCGCACATGTCCGGGTAGCGGCACCCGGCCTGCCGGCCGCCCGCGTACGGCGCGCGCTCGGTCGGTCCGGCGCGGCCCCAGTATTGGTACGTACCGCGACACGGCTGTCCAGTCCCGCTTGACCGGTAGCCCTCCGGACAAACGCATCGATAGCCGGTGTGCGTGTTAACGCACGTTTGCGTGTAGTGGCAGCGGTGGGAGCCCGTCGTGCATTCGTCTATGTCTAGAAGAGAGGAAGGCGGGAGATGAGATATACGATGAGCAGATATGTACGTATAGGTGTGTGGTCGCGAGAGGGAGAGAGAGGGAGGGAGAGAGCTTCAACACTGACGTGTA